CGATGGAAAACCCGACATTCGATACGATTCGTACGAGACGTGTCCACATGTGGCCTGAACTGCCCGTGTGTGCCAGTGTTTACAAGCCAGCCAGTGTGCGCGCATCTAAGGATACATTCGGTACATTCCATATTATCACTGTTTTTGGTGTTTGTTTCTGCAAAATAAGTCACCATGGGCCCCAAGAAAGCTTCTAGTGCCAACCCTGTGGTAAAAAGGGTGAGAATTAGTATGGAAATTAAGAAAGATTTTGAAGGGTTTGGGGCTAACCCTGAGAAGCCTATGCCAGTTGTGGACTCCATTGTGCCTACTTCAAATATTAAGGAATGTGTGCAAAGTGGGTTGAAACTGCAAACTTTATGGATGAAATCACCCTAACACAGCTATTGCAAGCCGTGCTGGTGACTATTACAATGACAATGTTATGGCCCATTTTAGACAAATGTTAAAGGAACGGCGGCAGAGGTCCAGTGACTCAAGCTGGTCCTAGTGGCATTAAAAGAAGGGAAGTAACCCCAGAAAAGGACTTGCTACCTCAAGTCCTAATGGAAGGGGATTCCCCTCCTAAACAGTAACAACTTCAACACTCTCCCCTCCTCTCATCCATCAATCATCACCAGATCTTCATTAAAGGTAAGTGTCAATTATTCTATTGTTATTATTCTATTGTTATTGTTGTTATTTTAATTATTCTATTGCATTAAACTTAATATTTCGTGTGGTAAATTTTTTTTTTCATACTTTGGGTGTCTTGCAGGATTAATTTGATTTCCATTATTTTTTATGGGAAAATTAATTCGACTTTCGATATTTTCGACATTCGATAGCTCTCAGGAATGGATTAGTATCGAATGTCGAGGGTCCACTGTATTATGTATGAACTTTGGGTATCTAAATTTTTAGTAATTCGGAGATCTTTTGGCAAATTTAAGTACTGAGTATTGAACATTTAGTTTTAGGGTGAGTATATGGTTTCTGAGAAGTCTTAAATTGATGTTCAGACCGGGTAACTTTAGTATTTACTGGAAATGAGTTCCAAATTTTGGGGCCCTTTATGTACACAGAGTTCTTACATAGTGTGATGTGGACATGGGGTACATCAAAAGTGATCTGTATCTTGTGTTATGGTGTGCATCCTATTAAGGTTGGTGAGAAGAAGTTTGAGTGAAGGGTTATGTTTGAGTGTAGTGTTCTATGTATGTAGTAGGCGGAAGAATAAGTATGGATGTTCTTTACGGTGAGTAGTTTTCGACTTCTGAATATTGGTGGAGTATGCTGTCTGGAATGGGAATTTATCTTCATTCTAACTGCAGCCTTTTGCGGGTTTTATGGCTTAATGATTTAAGTTGTTGGGCCCCATG